CAGGGATTCAAGCAGGAGTACCACGACCCCCTCTACGAACACGGGGGCCCTGGCCTGTCCGGGCCCCCCGGCCACGGCTTCCAGCCCCCCATGGGCATCAAGCAGGAGCCCCGGGACTACTGCATCGACTCAGGTGGGTGCCAGCTGGGGCAGGGCTGTGAGCTGCAGGCCTGAGTGGTAGATGGTGGCATCTTTTCTTTTTCTTCTCCTCCTCCTCCCTGCCCTTTCCTTTCCTCGGGGGTACAGCAGGCGTTTACCAGACGCTGCGCGGTGTGGTCCGTGCCATAGCTGCAGGCTGGGGTGCCCCGTGGCACCCAGCAGGTCCTCCCACGGCCCTGGCCTGGGGCCAGCTGTGATTTCTGGCTGCTGGACCCCTCCAGCATCACGGAAAAAATCCTCTAATCGCCTTAGGACCTAAAAATACCCCGCTCTGGGGATGGAGGGTGGCACAGCTGAGCAGATGGCCGGGGAGGTGCAGTGATGCCTCCTTTCCCTCTGGGCCTGAATAACGTGGTGGAAACCCGAGCTGACTTAATCCTTGCTCCCAGTGATCATTCCAGTGCACCCCTCTCCCCCAGACCATACTGGTTTTCCCTCAAAAGTGGGGGTGAGAGCCTGGGGTGAGTGCAGGAGCCAGGGTGTGAGGTGGGCTCTGGGGTCTGGTTTGGCCACAGGATGTGCTCGGGGAGGGGGGGAAACTTCTGCCTAGTGTGTGGTGGGACCCGTGGGACATGAGTCCTTCATCTTCCTCACAGAAGTGCCTAACTGCCAGTCCTCATACCTGCGGGGGGGCGTCTTCCCCAGCAGCCATGATGGTGAGTACACCCCCACCACCAGTGTCCCCCTGCTTACGAGTATCCCCAGCGTGTCCCATCCCTCCCTCAGGGCAGGCAGACACCCTTCACCATGGCCAGCAGAGCTGCTGGGCACACCAAAAACACCCACCAGAGCCCACGTGCCACTAGAAATAGGGCCTGTGTCCTATGTGCAGCCCCTGGCCCCTGTGGGGGTGCTGCTGTGGCAGCTCTGGGCTGTAATCCAGGGTCATGGCCCTCACCAAGCTGCTTAGAAGGTTTTGGTTCCCCTACCTCCTTGAGGTGAGCAGGACATGAAGCTCCATGGTGCTCAGCCAGCAAGCTGCTGGGATGCCGCTGCAATAACTGGGAAGGGGGTTGCTCCCAGCACTGGGGAGTAGGGTCTTGGTGCTGGTTTGGGCCAAGCCGGGGGTTTTGGGGGGTCTGGCTGGGGTGGTAGAGGTGCCCTGTACTCACCAAGGACCTTTTCCCCTTAGGATTTTCATATGAAAAGGACACACGATTGTATTTTGATGACACGTGCGTGGTACCAGAGAGGCTGGAGGGTAAGAATGTGGCCCCAGAGGAGGGCTGGGTGGTGACCCGGGCTCGTGGAGGGAGATTTGGGTCTGGGCTCTGCAGCAGCCAGCTTTTAAGGCCAGGCTGTGCTGGCACAGTGCTCTTGAGAGCCAGTGAACATTGTCCCACACGTCTGCTCAGCATCACTGCCATGCCCCGTCCCTGCCACCCACCCCACGCTTCTCCTGCCTGCAGCACCATCCCCAGCACCTCTCTGGCCCCATGGCCTGATCCTGTACAGGGGGTCCTAGCACAGGGGTGAGCCCGGGGTTGCCGTGTGTGTCCCCTGCCAGGTGGCACAGCCTGGGAGAGGGGTGGAGCAGGGGTGTTTAACCAGCTGTGTCTCCATGCGGGCAGGTAAAGTGAAGCAGGAGCCCACCCTGTACCGGGAGGGCCCTCCCTATCAGCGGCGTGGCTCCCTGCAGCTCTGGCAGTTCCTGGTCACCCTCCTGGACGACCCTGCCAACGCCCACTTCATCGCCTGGACGGGCCGGGGCATGGAGTTCAAGCTGATTGAGCCTGAGGAGGTAGGGGGAGGTCCTGCCCCAGCCCCCAGCAGGTTGGAGCTGGGGCTGCAGCCCGGGTGTGGTGGCAGGGGGAGGAGGGGGAGGCTGGAGCCAGATCCTGATCCTTCCCATGCAACACAGAAGTTCACACTCCTGGTTGAAGCGAGACTCTCCTAGCAGCTTTTGAAGGTGAGGGAAAAGCCAGTTGCCTTTCTGCACTAAGCAGCCATAGAAATTTGCCTTTAATCTCCTCCACTGCCTCAGCACAGCACGTGCTCTGTTCGTGGAGCCACCGGCCGTGGTGGCATCGCCTCTGTGCTGTGCCTTGGGTGCCTTGCTGAGGTCTACCACTCAGCTGTGGCTCCCTCCCTCCCACACTGCTCCAGTCCTTTGCCCTGGGTGCCTGGCAGCAGCTCTGTGGCTGCAGGAGAGTGACGCAGAGAGAGGAAGCTGTTTGGGGTGTAATTGAAAGCAACTGTAGTACCAAACTGCACGTTGTGGGTAATTACCCATAATATCTCTTATGCCGTCCATGGAAATCGTGGGGTTTTTTTTGAAGCAGCTTTTCTGGCAGACTCCCCTCATCAAATGCCTTTTGATTGGGCTCCTGGTTTGGTGTCGGTGGGCTCGTGGCAGCCGGTGCCCAGAGCTGGGGAACCGCTGCGGGTCTGTGGTGACACTTCCACCCCTGGCTGCTTCAGCCCCTACCCTGCATCTCGGTGGTGATTTCCCTGGAGGATGCAGGTCCAGGCTCCCGCCAGAGCCCTCACGGCTGCGGCCTATCCCCCTGCCGGTAGCACGGCGCTGGGGCATCCAGAAGAACCGGCCGGCCATGAACTACGACAAGCTCAGCCGCTCCCTGCGCTACTACTACGAGAAGGGCATCATGCAGAAGGTGGGTGACCCCGCTGCCGTCGGGGGGGGGGG